ACCCTGTAGCTATAGCAGCAAACCACACAAACACACAAAAGACATGACATATATACATATATATAAGCGTGTTTTTGTGTTGTGCATATATATAAATGTGTATATATATATATATACATGAACAAACCCACTTGAAAACCCATCAATATTTCTTTGCCAAGTTTCAAACTTTGATCAGCAGAAAGCACAATACCCTTGAAAAACACCAAAAGCTACTGTGGTTTATTTTATTTTTTTTTCCCTTCAGGTTACTTCTATTTTGATCTGTGCAGATGGTGTTAGGTTGGAGAAGAAGGAAGAACAACCACCGTAAAGGTGGTGGCAAACCCAGCTTGGAGGTGGTGATTCCCAACCACTTCAGGTGTCCAATTTCTCTGGATTTGATGAAGGATCCTGTGACATTGTCTACTGGGATCACCTATGATAGAGAAAGCGTGGAAAGGTGGTTTGAAGATGGGAACTATACTTGTCCTGTTACAAACCAAATTGTGAGGAACTTTGACATGATTCCAAACCATTCTCTTAGGATAATGATTCAAGATTGGTGTGTGGAAAATAAACAATATGGGGTTGAGAGGATTCCAACTCCAAGGATACCAATAAGTCCAATTGAGGTTGCTGAGCTTTTATTGCAAGTGAAGGACTCAGCAATATGTTTGGATCAATATGGTTGCTTAGAATTGGTGAAGAAAATGGAGAAGTGGGGTGCTGAGAGTGAGAGGAACAAGAAATGTATAGTGGAAAATGGAGCACCCGGTGCATTGGCTTCTGCATTTGATGCATTTGCAAATGATTCTGTTGACAGGAATGTGGTTGTTCTTGAGGAGATTTTGTCAGCACTCAATTGGGTGTTTCCACTTCAATTGGAGGCACAGAAATCTTTAGGGACTTGTGCTTCTTTACGTTGCATGGTTTGGTTCTTGAAGCACCAGGATCTCTCAGGGAGAGAAAAGTCTATTGTTGCATTGCAAGAGCTTCTTTCTTTTGGTGATGAGAAGAATGTGGAGGCTTTGTCAGAAATTGAAGGAGTCAATGAGCTCTTGGTGGAGTTCATCAACAAGAGAATTAGTCCAAAGATTACCAAAGCTTCACTCAAGGTTGTTTTTTTCTTGGTTTCATCATCTTCCCCTTCCAGTGAGAAAATGAAATTGGCATTTGTTGAATTGGGTTTGGTTTCTTCTCTATTGGACATTCTCATTGACTCAGAAAAGAGCCTGTGTGAGAAGGCTTTGGCTATTTTGGACTCCCTATGCAATTGTGAAGAAGGGAGGGACAAAGCTTATGGTAATGATCTAACAATTCCTGTATTGGTGAAGAAACTATTGAGAGTTTCACCATTGACCACAGATTACTCTGTCTCTGCAATTTGGAAGCTGTGCAAGTTTGGAGAGAAAGATGAAGGAAAAGCTCTTGTTGAGGCCCTTCAAGTTGGTGCCTTTCAGAAACTCTTGTTGGTATTGCAGGTTGGTTGTGGTGATGAGACCAAGGAGAAAGCTACTGAACTTCTCAAACTGCTGAATCCTTATAGGGCTGATTTGGAATGCATAGACTCAGATTACAAGAATATTAAGAGATCATTTTAAGGTTGTAATTCATTTTCTTCCTAGAAGCTTAGTCCTGTATTATGTGTAAAACTTTTTTGCCTAATGCATGGATCTCTACAATCTGTGTCATGGGATTCAAAGAAATCATAAATAGATAGGGAACATATAAAATTGTATTCTTTTTGTATATCTCAATGAGTAAGATGACATTTTGATACCTTAAGAGTTATTTGTGCGTGTACCTTTATCTATGATATTGAACAAATTTACTACATGATCTGAATTAATGAAAGAAAAGACAGACGATTTCAGTATAGTCCAAGTTAACAATAATCCAAATATTTGAACCAACCAATTTCATAAACCAAAAGTAGAATATATTTTGTTTGAAGAATATTAGTCACACACTATTTCACTCTCTCTTTTTAACGTTTCCATAATTCTATATTGTTAGGTAAAATCTAATATGGACTCTACTAAGTAACTTGAGTTTTCTCTCTGTCTACTAGTAAAACCCCCATAAGATTTTATCTAATATTAAAAATATGTTGAAAAGAAAATGTTAAATGGTAAATTGTTAATATTTCCCATTATCTTCCGAAAAAAAAAATTGGTTTGCCTCATTCCTGAGTCCTTTTAATCTGTTTAATGTGGAACTATTAATTTAAAAATAATGATACTATACAACTTTTAATTTACAAATTGAGAAATGCAACATAGCTTCAAAAAATCAGATAGAATTTTAACGAAATTCAGCTAGATTATATTGAAGGATAGTTATTGGATAAAATAAAGTGGTAGGCCTCACTCATCCATCCAAAAATCAAAGAGCATGGTAATTCATTCAGTCAAAAAATCTTGCTAAAATTTTCTTCATGTATTTCATTTTTCTTATGACTATGCACAACTTTGATTATAATACTTGAGTTTGATTGAAAAGAAATTAGGTATTTAATTATGCCACACCTAAAAGTTAGGTAACAAATGAGTTTTACAGGCAGCATTATAATGAAAGAGAAATGTGTTAAAACTTGATAGATAGAGTTTTAGAGTCTATGTATGTTATGCGACTCAAATCGAATTAGTCAAGTAATTAATAAACCGATGGATAATATTTTAAAAAATATGCAAAAATTTTTATGGAGAATGATTTTCCATCATGAAATTCTCATGTGATTCTTAAAATGAGGAAGCACTGATTGATGTTGGTTGCTAACATGGACAGGAGATGCAAGACTGAGAGCCTTTGGATAGCCATTTAAGTTGAACTCTCTCAAAAGACCCTTTTGAAAACTACATGAGTGTGAAACTTGAAATTAATAGAATGTCATTTTCATTGCATGTTTTCAATCCATTGAAAACGTCGTCACTTGAAATTGAGTTTGAAAATCTTTCATCAAGTTCAAGTTCTATTACATAATTTTATCAAAATCTAGGCTTATATTTTTACACGTTACATTTCAGATTTGAGCTTCAAACTCCAAACAAGTTGTTTTCATACTTCAATATATCTATATTACATCCAGCTTATATTTTTTCATCCAAGCTCATTGAACATTTCCCTTTTTTTTTTTTTTTACAAAACTAGCATAAATGCATTATACCTATACCTAGTAGAGACCAAACATACTACTATCAAATGTGTGGATTAACTGATAATGGATTATTCCAACTTAATAAGTGGTCTTGAGTTTGAGTTATAATTATGTTAAAATTTTGTAGAGAGAGCTTTATCCCTCGTATTGTCCTACCCGATTCGAATTGAACTAGTCGAGTAACTAATGAGCTTATAAATAATATATATACATAAAAAAAAATACTGTAACATGTGACGCTTAGTTGGAAATAGGCAAGACTGGTGTGAATAGAACTACTTAATTGTTTGCCATTTCACATCGCCGTTTTATATAAAACGACTTCCGAGGATTGAGAATGAGAATCATGTGATGTAATAAACAAGGGGCAGAAGATGACAACAACTAAGGATATGCGGAAATTTTGGCGCAAATATAGAATATGTGACAATGGGAACATTTGTCTGTATTCACACTGCTGAATGAGGAGTGAAATCCCATTCACAAGACAGCTGCTTTAGAACTAGCCTGAGAACAAAATTCCATCCATCTACGTAGAAATTCTTAATGTAATATAAAAATTAAATTTGAATAATCAGATTAACTTTATACATTAAATATAGACAATTGAGCTTATTACATAAATATATTCTTGAATGATACTTGTGTCCTAATAAGAATGCATACGAGGCTATTTGGCATCTCTTTTTTCTAAACTAAATTTAAGTTAAAGTTAAAAAAAAAATAGAATAAGGATAAAAAATAAAAGGGAAAACATTTTTATATATTAAAAGAGACAACTTTCCTCTCTTACACAAATTTTTGAATTTTTTTTTTTTTTTTTACAAACAGTGGTGCCTATAAATTTGTTTATATGACATGAGATAAATTGTCTAATCTAATATGAGATTAATAACACCCAAAATAAAATTTATAAATATAAATTTGGAATAAAACTATAAAATAAATATGAAGAGTAAAAAAAGTTAGCATATATCTTAAAAAAAAATTTCTCTTATGAACTTTTAGCTTTTATTTATTTTTTTTATTATAAAAAAAAATTATAATAAAAGATTTTATAAAAATATATTTGACTTAGCTTTTATTTTTAAGAAAAAAAATGTTAAAAATAAAAACATACTTCAAAAACAAAGCTTCTTTAACCAATAGACACGTCCAATTTGCATCCAAATAACATAAAGCTCCACACTTAAAATAGTCATCGGATTAACTTTATAAATTAAATTTAGACAAATGAGCACATTACGTGTATATATATGTGTATATATATATATATATATATATATATATATATATATATATATATATATATATATATATATATATATCGAATACTTGTGCCTTAAAAAGAACGCATAGGACTTGGAAAATAAAACTTTGTTATGAAAAAAGAAACCATTAGACACCTCAAAATAAGATAAAAGGTCCACACGTGACATTAGTCCACCGACATATTTGACAATGGAATTTAGTAAATCAATTAGTTGTTTTGTTGGTTCTGATAATTATATCCAAGTCTAGAATTTCATTTACCAGAATATCAAATCTCATCCACGGGGTTGGCTCAAGGGGTAAGATATTTGGATTCGCTTAAGCAAGAATTCGAGTTCGAAATCTTATGTATGCAGAAAATTTTCGCCGAGAGACTCACCTGCTAATGCTAAATAACCTACCCGGATCGGACTGGACACAGTCGAAGCGAAGCCCCAAAAACCAGTGGAGCAATTCAAAAAAAAATAAAATATATCAAGTCTCAAATCTCTAGTCACAACTTTGAAACAAACGCGCTAGCTTTGATTTGATGGTTTTATTGACTGCCAATTTTAGATTTTTTCGACGATACAAAATTTTGGGAGTTACAATTTAAAAGTAGAGTAAATATTTCTTTTCGTGACAATTTTCACGAGGTACATTTTAGTCCCGAGCAATAAAAAAAGCTCATTTTAGTCCTTAATATTTAAAAAAAAAAGGCCACGTTCGTCCTTCCGTTAGTTGGCATCTGACGGCCCAACTAACGGAGCACACGTGGACCGTTACTTTGCTGAGTCACCGTTAAGTATGCCAGCGTGGAAGTAATACGATGTCGTTTTATGTCTTCTTGGAGTTTTGGACAACTGACCCTAGCATCGAAGGCCCTGTTTGGTCCTTAACACCACAAATCTTTCTCTATCTGCATGCACCTCAAGCTGCATTAAATGTTTTTTTCCCCAACTCTTTCTTCAATCAACATAGTTTTCTGCAAGTGAGTTTTCCCTCCATGTCAAAAGAAAATGAGCAATTTTTCACGAAGATTTTGCAAAGGGGTGTTGAGAACTCTGACCCAAATTCAGGCACTCTTAATTTCTCAGTTAAAGTATGGCCTAAACTGCCAGATTTCCTTAGTTCAGTTAATCTAAAATATGTGAAATTCGGTTATAGCTACCTCTTCTTGCCAAATCGTTTGTATTTGTTGCTGGCACCACCTCTTCTTGCAACCTTGATTGCTCATATTGGAAAGTTCACTTGGAAAGATCTTTATGACAAACATGACCTCACTGAGGCTCTATTTATATCAGCACTTTTGTGCTTAATGCTATATTTTTATATTGAATCTACACCCCGGTCTACCTATTTGCTTGATTTTTCATATTTTTGCCCTTGAGATGAATACAAGGTAAACAACACTTTTTTGTTAACTATTTATCACTCTTCACATATTTAAGTGTGGATGAGATTTAAGTCTTCATTATTTGAGATTGTATAATTCTTTGCCAATATATTTAAGGGAATGTAAGCCTATTTATGTATATATATTCAATTTTTTGCATGCATTGAATGAGACAATTAAGGACAAGAGGTATCCACGATGATGTTTGGGGCAATTAAAGACCTTCTTGCTGTCACAAAAGTAAAACCAAAGGAATATTAAACACCACCCCATCACTCTCATCAATGATAATAAACCAAAGGGAAGATAGTGAAGGGAGGAAGGGAATTTCTGTAAGCAAAAATGTCAGGTTGGAGGCCATGCATTAAAGGCCACTATTACCACATTAGGTCCACTAGTCCTACCAGTTTTAAAACAACTTCACTTCTTCACCAATTTGCTCTTCAAGAAAAAGAAAACAAAGCCATACATTCCGGATTACAAGTTGGCTTTTGAGCATGTATGCATTCTGGCAACAAGTAAGAAAGTGTTGGATGAGATTCAGAAGAATTTGGAGCTCACAGAGGAGTACATGGAAGCATCAAGGAAGACATTGGAACGATTTGGCAACACATCTAGCAGCAGCATCTGGTATGAACTGGCATACCTTGAGTTTAACTCAAGGATCAAGAGGGGTGATAGGGTTTGTCAGATAGCTTTTGGTGCTAGGTTCATGTGTAACAGTGTTGTTTGGAAGGCCCTCAGGAATGTTGGGAGACCCAAGCAGAGTCCTTGGATTGAGGATGAGTGCAGCACCACCTACCTAGCAAAGAACCTTTTAAGGATCCTACATTTCCATATTATGAACAATGGAAAAATGACATCGATTAAATAAATAAAACAGATAGAGAAAGGTTTGTGGTGTTAAGGACTAAATAGGGCCTCGATAAATTTGTCAGGGACCAAATAGGGCCTTCGATGTTAGGGTCAGCTGTCCAAAACTCAAAGAAGACATAAAACGACGTCGTATTACTTCCACACTAGCATACTTAACGGTGACTCAGCAAAGTAACGGTCCACGTGTGCTTCGTTAGTTGGGCCGTCAGATGCCAACTAACGGAAGGACGAACGTGGCCCTTTTTTTCAAATATTAAGGACTAAAATAAACTTTTTTTATTGTTCGGGACTAAAATGTGCCTCGTGAAAATTTCAGGAACGAAAATGAGTATTTACTCTTAAAAGTATCCTAGTAAGCATACTTACAATTTAAAATGAACTTTGCAAAAGAGTAATCAATCATGTCAATATAGTAACTGTCTTTAAACATTATTAACAACCCGGTAGTTGTTTTAAGAGTAAACACCCTTTTTAGTCCCTGGAAATATCTACGAAGTCCTTTTCAGTCCCTGACAATAAAAAAGGACCAAATTGATCCCTGAAAGTACAAGAAAAGGGCCACTCTACATATTTGGGAGTTGACATAAGAACTAACATGGCCCTTTTTTGTAATTTCAGGGACCAATTTGGTCCTTTTTTATTGCCAGGGACTAAAAAGGACTTCGTAGATATTGACAGGGACTAAAAAGGGTGTTTACTCTTGTTTTAAATTGGAAATACGTTGGCTAGGATAATCTGTTAATGTTAAAATGCAAATTTACCAATAGCTTATGCTGTCAGCGAACAGTATCAACTTTGCAAGAAGCACATTAAAAGATAATCACTAATAAGTCAATTATCCTGTCAATTTAAATTTAAGAGAAATAGATACTGATGCTAAATATGATTCGAGTAACAACAGAAAAAATGTATGCGATAAAAAAAGACTACCAATGTTATTAAAATAGAGAATTTAAGTAAAATCAAAAAGAGATTAAAAAATCATAAAACGTAAAATCATAATATAAAAAAAAAGTTATATTTTCTTATGCAATATGAAAGGAGCTTTTTTCCTACACATACAACCAAATGACCCCATTAATTTTAAAAAAAAAAAAAAAAAAAAAAAATATTAACACAAAAATCGAACTCTCACTAACATGAAAAGAACTTTGTTCCTACGACATGAAATTTATTTATCCCATAAAAAAATCATAAAAAATCATAAAAATGTTTAAAATATTAATAAAATCATTTTGATGAAAAAATCATAAAAACGTAAAATCATAATGATAAATCGAGATTTTAACAACCATATCTCAAACCATCATATGTAAACTACGATTGTTTTTCAACTGGATTTCATTTTATCTTCTGTGACAAAAGATGGAAAGTTAAATAGTTAGGATGTGAAAAAAAAAAAACCAAATATATCGAACCAAACCATCAACTGATCCGAAACCAATAAAATAAATAAATTTGTTTGAACTAGTTTAAGAACCAAATCATTTTTTTTCAAAAAACCAATTTGAAAACTGAACCAAATCATACCCACACCAAGAAATGTGAAAAAACTAAATGAACTGAATCGAATCGCAAACCTTTCCAATCCGCACTACATTTTATTAACCGGTTCAAGAAATAAACTACCTTTTAAAACTGGTTCGATCTGCCCGAACCGAAATACTTTTCTGGTTCAGTTCGGTTTGCTATAAAAAACCGAACCGAAACGTGCACACCCCCTTATAGAACTGAAAGGAAAAATATTTCCCCAGTATAGGCTAATAGACATTAAACTACACAGAAGTCAAAAGAGTGCGTCCCAACAGCATAACACATAAAAGATTGGAATTTAAAAATATAGAGCTGAATCACATGAGCGTGTCAATAGAGTTAATTTGGCACATCATGTAAGTATGTCCATGCAAGACTCAACTAAAGCTGCCTCAAGGTTCTCTCCTCCACTAACCATGACAACATGAGATTGTAAAAAGAAGGAAGCTACTTGGACTTGGATCTCTTCTCCACTTCCTCCATCCTTTGGATATCCTTCTGATACTTGCAAATGCGGAAGATAGACCTGTTACCACATTCATATGCATTCGTTGAGGTTGAGTTCCAAAGCAAGGAAAGATAACTTAGGGCCTGTTTGATTGTGTTCTGGTTTTTTTGTTCTTAAAACTGTTTTGTAAAATAGTTATGGAAACAGTTGTTTTCTATATTTTTTTCTTTTTGAAAGTTAAAAACCAAAACAAAAAACAAAAACAACTCAGACATGTTCTCTAAATTTGATTTTAAAAACAAAAAAACAGTTATAGTTTTCAAAACATTTTTTACAAAATAGGTCTTACCAAACGAGTTTTTTAATTTTTTTGTTCTGAAAACTAAAAAACTGTTTTCCAAAACAGAAATCAAACAGAGCCTTACATTCTGTTCCCAAAGGACAAAAGAGAATCCAATGTAAAACTGTTACTTTACCAGTATAGAAGACATGCTGTAACACACAGTATTACGTTTCTCTGAGCTTTGTATATCTGAGTAACACCAATTAATGATTAATGAGCCAACAATGTAAAGTATGTAAGAAAAGAGAGAAAATATGGCAATTTTTATTTTCAATAAAGAAATTCTTAACTAAAGCATAAGTCATGCAGTCTGATATTGTCAGTCCAACTCAACCAAAAGAACTCCAATCATAAGCTTCCAAAGTTCAAACCCACAGAATGGTGTAAGCCATATAAATTTTCAACAGTCAGAATGTCTAGAACCTTGGGAAAGGAGGGAGGCTGAAAGCTTAATGAAAGCATTTCCAAATCATCAATATCTATATTTGATTGGCCCCGGATCCTCAACATGACAATGATAGTGAAGAAGGGACTGGAGGCATTCAACCTCTATGGCTCCTGTTAGGGATGTAATAAAGACAAGATAATCCCCACTAATATCCCCAATCTAATACTAACCACATCACTACAAAGCAAAGCATATTGGAACAGATTTTTGCATTTTTATGCTGTTTCATTTAGGAATCTAGTCGGTTTTTTTTTTTTTTTTCCAGCCATTGATGCTAATATTTTTGGATAAAAACTTCTTCTCAATAGGTAGGATCAGTGTTGTAAAACTCAGCTTGAACTAGCCAGTTCAACCAGTAAACTGATCACCTAAGCGGTCCGAGCCACTTATAGACCAGAAATGTAAAAAGATTGATGCACTTGTTGAAGCTCAGCTGATTAAACCAAAGAGTCAGTGAACCACTAAGATTTAATGAACTGGTCAAGTCAAAGTTGGCAGCAAATAGGAATTATTCTGTGCTCATCACAAGGTTCATGCTTTGAAGTTTGAAGAGTGCCAAGTTTTTTCTTTTTATAGTGAGAACTGAGAAGTGAGAACGCTTATTCCTCTCACAAGCTTACTCAATGTGGGCTCTATCATCTTATATATCTCAGACTGCACTACACGATGTAGGACTTTGGAATCATGCAGGGAAGAACCTCAAGCAATAGTGCTGGAGTTCAAACAATATAGAAAACATATTTGGGTTCAACAACATCAACAACACCATTATCCTAAACTAGTTTGGGATACTTGGGTCCAATACAGAAAAATTATATTCTGTTTCCTTTTTCTTAAAAGCTAAAACATACTTCAGTATCAAACAAAACTTCATTATTCTCACTTCATATTCACAGTTCACAATCCACAATTAAAAGAGTGCTGAATATGGAAGACAGAGTCGGTACAGCTGTAGAAATTCACATTGTATGACTAAAGTAAATGACAAAGAGCATTTTGGGGATTACGGATGATAATTGGACATTTGGACCTGGATGCAGAACAAATGGGTATCTGCAAAAATTACTCACAACACAATGGGTATGGTCTTTACCCATCAAATGGGTCTGGGTACCCATCAAATGAGCCGGCAGACCCTTAAAATCAATGTTTTGTGTGAAAATAAGAGGAAAAGCCACAAATTGATTTCAATCATGATCTGCTTACATTGAAAGCCGCTTTTCGAACCTACCCATGATGCAATATATGATACTAGATGGTGTAAGTGAATTAGGTAGATTTGGAAATCAGGACTAGGATAATGCATATGTTGTCAAGTTTAACTAGACCTAAAATTAAATTATATACAATTAACAAGGAAAAACTGAATAAACATTGATTAAATTAAAGTTGAAGGATAAAAAGTTTAAAAGAGTTTGTAACATTTTGGGATTATCCACCAATAGTGCATACTCAAAATGGTGAGGCAATTGAAGACTGTGTTCAGGCAGAGTGAAGGGCACAAAAAAGTGCAGCTGGAGACTATTGTGTTATCAAAAGATAATACCTGGAGCTAAAACTTTATGGGTACATTATACAACTTCTATTTATGTGAAATAATGATGTTGAAAAAACATACTGAAACTGTGGCTCTTACGCAACAATAATTTTGATTTATACAACTTTGGCAGTATACAATTATCCAAGACGATTGGAAAATTTTAATTAGAAGAGCCAAAGAGGGTAAGAGGGAGACCAAGAACAAGATGAAGATTGAAGAGAAATGATAAGAATAGACAAGGAAATTATAAGGTACACAGACAACTTAAAACTTAAAATAAAGATGGGGGAATCCATATGGAGGGTTCCAGTTATCCCCAACAAAGAATTTGGTGCTTTCTGTTGTAACTTTTGTAACATTCAGAATCATAAAAGTTCATTGAAGCAATGATGAACAGCTGAAAGTCAAATAAGTCCCCTATACTACAACCCATGGTTTATCAAATAATCAAATTAGCATCTTGCAAATAATGTAAACCATGCTGCCCAAAACTTTATTATCAGTTGCTTTTAAAGTTCAATTCTCATTCAATATTCATAAAATTGTTCAAAATTTGAAACTGATTTTCTTCAAATCATTAAACGAGGCTTCCCAAAATCACCAAAAGTTAATAAAGCACATTCAGTGACCACAATTTACAATGCAAAGAACTATGAATTATCCCATTAAATCTACTTTGACATTCACAAACTCACTTTAGGCCTATAAGCTACTGACAACCCAAATCAAATTCTTATTCCACAATTCCAAAAGGCAGAAGAAAGTCCCAACATCTTATATAAAAAATACTTACAGATTTCTCATATCGATCTCTCTCTGCAGCAGTACAAACATCAGAAGTACACATCAAACGATGCTCATTCTTCCAGTATATATCTGCAAAGAACAAACAAATCCAAATTCAGGAAAACCAACAGTAGATCCCACACAATTAACCAATGGATCTCCTCATAAAGCAAACTAGTAGCACACAATCAACAAAAAAAAAAACCTCTTCCAAGCCCTTTTCAACTTCTGAATCTAACTACCAACAAAATCAATCCCGTGAAAAAAAAAAGATTCAAAATTTTCACTACCAAACAAATACCCCCGATAGGTGATCATCCATAAACCCCAAAGCAAAAAGCAATTGCAACAATTTTCAACCACCGACCCACCAACTCAGAAGTAAAAAATGAAAGATTTTTGGTCATACCCAGTTGTTCCCAGATGAAATGTAAGAGACCCATTAGAGAAAAAAAAGAAGAGAATAACATACCTAGGAGTTGGAACCCAGAAAAGGGGACAATAAAAAGCGCAGGTTGGAGAATGAGGGAAACCAGAGAGACAAAACGATTTCTCAAGAGCTTCGGTGTGGGAAGGGTTAGCAGAATCGCCACTACAGCCTCAGCTGCCACCACGTATGAGAGTATCAACCACTGCAACGCCATGTTTTCTGCAGAGTGTTGCCGTTCTTGTCTAGGTTTCTTCCTTCAGCGCTTTGTGATTTTCTTCTACTTCTTCTTCTGTCTGATTCTTTATTTGCTTTCTGGCTTTTTTAACTTTTCTCTGCCCTTTTTTTTATTTTCTTGGATTTTTTTATTTTTTTTATGTTCTATTTTTTTGCTACTTTTCTTATGTCGTAAGTTAGATCATAAACTGTACTAAAAAAAAAAAAAAAAAAAAATTAGATCATAAATTGGCCTTGTATAGTTGTCTTTTTTCTTATTAGGAAAAAAAAATGAAAAAAAAGGATCCTTATGAGTTTTATTTTATTTTTTTACGGGAAAAGGATTTGCATGTTTATGGACATAATTTTATACTATTTTAAGGGAGCGTTTGATACACGTCATTTTTCAGAATTTTCAGAAAACTGAATTTTTTAAAATTTTTAATTTTTAGATATTATTGTAAACTTGAGATTTCTGGAAAAAAAAATATTTCTCATTTACCAAACGTCCACTAAGTAAAATAATTATATTATATATAGTGATTTTTTTATATTCTCTCATATATAATATTTTCTTTTTTTATCTCCTCCTCCAAATTTTATGAAAGAGAAAGAAAGTAAAAAACCATCAAATATATACCAAAATACGATAATTTCATTTAAAATAATGCAAAGTTAAAATTTTAAAATAATAAATATTTTTTATTTTTAATTATATACATATTTTTTTTAGGTAAAAACGTTTGTCACTTTAAAAGATAAAACTTTGGGTCATCCTCACCAAAAAAATATATATATATTTATGTCATTTAAAATGAAAAGGTATTATTTTGGTGCATATTTTGTGATTTTTTACATTCCCTTTGTTACATAAAAGTAGAAAGAGAGAAAATAGATCAGAAAGAATATAAAAAATATCAAATACGAATCAAAATAACGTCATTTAATCTAAAATAATACAAAGTTACATCCTTCAAAATGATAAATATTTTTTTTATATTAATTACAGAATTTAACACTAATCATAATAAATTAAATTTATTTAGGACTACAATCTACTTCTATTGTCTGTAATTTATTTTAGGTTTGAGTTTAATGGTTGTAAGTGTCTTGTTAATATTATTTTCAACGAAGTTATAAATTGTTATTGGAGTAAGCAGCCAGCAAAAAACTTTATTGAAGAAGAAAATTACAAAAAAAAAAAATAGAATAACATAAATTAGGTTTGAATTATGACATAATAAAATAGGATTTTATTTGTCTTACGTTGCACAAATTTTGATTTTGCAGCTGAATTATATATCTATATTTATGTCTCTTTTTCTTTTTTTTTATTTTAAAAATGATGGATCTCACAATAATTTTTTTTATAACATAATAAATTTTTTTTACAAAAACATAAGAAAAATAAACCCAATAAAATAACACAGCTAAACTATCGACCAAAAATAGATAAATAATAATAGAAAAATGATATAAGATACTTATCTCTTGTCATATACTCAAAGAATTTTGTGCTAATTTTTTCTTTTTTTTCTTTTTAAATTGTAGACTTCATATATTTGTATTACTCACATAAGAGTATTATCTCATGTAACATGAGATTAATAAATCCCATAATAATAACACAGTTAAACCGCACAATTGGGATATTCGGTTTAAACAACTAAACCGTGCTATGTCTGTCCCAATCAAAACAGGTTTGACGGGTTGCTTGCATAATTGCATTAATTAGAGTTATGTTTTTGTCTCTCTATTATAATAATCCTGCTTCTTATTGTTCTGTTTGTTTTATTTTAATCTCATATACTTTGAGGTTTTTCTTCATTTTTTTTTTTGGCCAAAGTGTGATTCTTTTGGTCTATATGGACGATTATATTTATTATCATTTTAGTCTTATTATTTTTATTATCGTTAGATTAATTTAAATTTAACGATAGTTGATTTTTTTTCTCTTTTTTCAGTATTATTTTAAATTAATGCAATAATAACTAAACGGATAATTATAAAAATTTGTAATTATCCCCTATATATGACTTAAATATTTGAGTTCACTATTTCAAGACTTTGTTTTTTTTTTTGAAATATTCCAATCGATTTTTCGCTTCATGACTAGTTCGATTTGAGGAGAATCTCGAGATTAAGACTTTAAATTTCTTCCAAAAATAATATTGAAGAAGATCGAATGCATGCTCTCTCCCTACATACTCAGTTCGCTAATGCAAAGATTCATTTGATAGGTCTAAAGAAATTGTTTATCACTTCACTAGAAGTTGCATAAGTACATTCATTATGTACTGATACATATATGGACTCTAACCAGCCATCTTTAAACTTTTATTGGACATCTTACAAATTCAGAAACCTTCATCTTGCTTTTGAGCTGCTGTATTCCTAAGAAGCATAATAAGGTAGCAAGATTAGAGAAAATGAAAGAGAAATATTCATTCATTCAATTCAACAAACCGATGAAGAAACTTAAGCCTGCACAGAATTGGAAAAACGACAGGTTAGTTTATGAGGACGATGTGCATGTAGAAAACATATTTTAATGCCACATTTGAATGATGGCACGGTAAAATAATACAAGTTTCATATTCTAAATGACAGTAGCATTGAGTGTCAGTGTTTTCAGCAGCACTAAAAATATTATCCTCATATATGATTTTTGCTAATCATACACAAATAAATGATTATTTTTTCCCACTTGATATTTTAATGCTTTTTCTGAAGGTATATCATTAGAAACGCAAAAGCGCATCGTACTGATGCGATGAAGAATAAAGATATCGCTTTGATTACCTGAGGTGAAGTAGCGAGCGTGACAATTTCTCACGTTCAGTTCTCCTTCTCAAGCCTCACGATCTGTAGCAACGCACCACGAACGGTCACAATTCCGCTCTATGGTTGATCTTCCAGGCTATGACTCAAGGGGATCAGGGGGTCGTGTGGGCAACCGTTCAGATGATGAACGTCTGCCTCTTTGGTGTGTTTCTTATGTCTGTAACCCTAGGAGGCACTAGAGAGAAAAGAAAGTTTATATACCCTGCCCGATCCAAAACTAACCCTAAGCTTCATGGGTTAAAATTAGACTTTGGATTCACTCTCACTAAAGCTATTGGGCTTAAGTGAAAAGAGCATACTAAACCCAACAATCTCCTACTTGCTCTTTTGGACACAAACTTGAGTTCATAAACCCAAGACTATGTAGCCTATAAGTCATCATCATCTGATTATACAACACATCCCTTGTCTCAAGCTAGCCTGGGGATCTACCATTTGTCACTTATCAAGGCTCTTTGATAATCTTTGAAAGATTATCTAATTCAGCGCTACTTCACTAAAAGCCCGAACGTGAACTCCAAGATTAATGACCTTTATAACATGAATATGCATTGCCCCTTTACAGAATGTCTATAATTGATTGATTAATTTTCTGTAACCCAATCAATTATTTATTCACTTGACTATGATAGTTTCTCTAATGGATTACATGTACTGGCCAGTGTCTTTAATATCCAAGTACTGAAACATATCAAGAGGACATTTCCTATAAACTCCTTGTTGTTTATCTAATAAATACTGATAACCAGATAATCTCAATCCCAAAATACCGAGTTATTGGCCGTCAATTGATCGAACCTCACCGTTGGTAAATCAAAGAATGAAGACTATTTAATTACCTATTTAAAATAAACTCAGGATTTAGAGCAATTACATAACTACAGTTAACTAGAGATTTGATACTTTATGACATAAAAACAACCTTAATCAAATCTCTGTTTGATCCTTTCAATGTGAATGTTAATTCACACCAATATTTTACAATGATTCGGACAAAACCATTTCATAAAATATTGCAGCCTAAATAAAGTGTCCAACTTTATTTAACAGCTGCGAATCTATTCATCAATTGTGAGAACCTATGATCATGTCCTCCATAAACGTATCCATATGATCATATACTCTACAATTGATCCAGACCTTGATGTTTGTAAATAGTGCGCAAAATAAATAATACTTTATTTGTAAAATTCAGAAAATGATTACATTATTTCATTGTCTTACTCCAAGAGCACAATGAACCCAATATCTCCCACTCGCTTAATGCAAGTCTGGGATCCTTCTAAGACCCAAAGAAGTAACATGCATCTTGAATACAAGTTCAGGCAAACTCTTAGTAACTGGGTCTACAAGATCCACCTCTATTCTTATCCTAATTGAGTGAAACTCATAGCTCGAGGTTGATTTTCTTGAGTCAATATCCACTTAAAATAACTGAATTTGTGAAAACTCATCTTTTCAAGACTCCCACTAGAATATACCAGCATATAATCTCACTACTTGAGTACATGCTTAACAATAATATAGTATTCCTCTAGGTTCTAAATGGTAACGTCTCACTACTCACACTGCGTGACAGATGTCTGGTTTAATGCCCAACATGATATGCATGAGTCTACCTTTGCCAAAGCATAAGATATCCTGCTCATGCATTCTTCCTTCTTAGGAGTCTTTGGTTACTCCTTAGGAAGATGAATTCCACATCTGAAAATTTATAATTCTTCTCTTAGAATTCTCATGTTGAATTTTGGCAAAAGTTTTGTCAATGTAAGTAGCTTGAGGTGATGCCAACAACTTATTCTTCCGGTCTCATAAGAGTTTTAAACCAAGAATATAATTGGCTTCTCCAGTACTTCCATACCAAAACACTAACTTAGCCAACTCTTTATACTTGATATTACCTCCACGTTGTTTCCAATAAGGAGCATATCATCGACATAAAGTACCAGAAAAGCTAATGTCTTCCGTTGGATCCTTTACATACAAATACACATCATTCATCAAGTTTCTCTCAAAATCAAAATTTTGATAACCTGATCAAAACTGATATTCCAAGACCTGGATGCTTGCTTAATTCTATGAAATAGACTTTCACAACTTGCATACCATGTGTTCTTACCTATTTGCTATAAACCATTTTGGTTGTTTTATGTAGATATTCTGACATCCAACTCCCAAAATGAAATCTCATAATTAAGACTTATAGCAACTAAGAGAATCTGGATAGACTCAAGCATGGCGTCTAGCAAAAAT